CTGCAGTCCAAAATGGGCTTTATGTACACAGCCTAACTGGCACAAGTTTAAAGTTTAATGGAAATTGGGGCCCCAAAAATGTGGGCCTGAAACCGATGCATACGGGAAAGTCAGGATATGTTATTGCACCTCAGTGGGTTGGTAGCAAAAGGAGACATCTTTAAAGCCTGGCTCACACTGCAGGATAATCGGCCCGATTTGAGCTCCGATTCTTCCTTCCCGACAATCGCAGGGTCTCTCCCGACTCAAGGCTGCTCGGAACCGATTATCTGCTCAGATTATCTTGTAGTGTGAGCGGTACAAAGATCCAATCTTAACGTCCCGATCCGCCCGGCAATTGTCAGGGACGCCCGGTTTTATTTCAAACATGTTTGATATTTAGAAGTTAAAATCTTGACGAGTTGTGTGTGACTACAATATAATCACGAGAGACAAGGGAGGAATGTAGTCATGGCGACCAGCGGTAGGACGCAACACAGCTGGGTTTTTTTTGTTTGTTTTTTCGGTACAGATCATCGGCGCAGCACTTTTCTGAAACTTGTATCCATATATCTACAATATCTATTGTATCTACTTTCCTCTATTCTACAACAACTTTCACTTCCTTCTCTTTCACCAACCGCCGTACGCTGGAGTTTCCGACTCGCTGGATTGTCCGACAATCGTGGTCGTACAGTGTGAGCACATAAATCTCAAGGTCTGGTCGGGCGTCGTAAACGATTCAGTCGTACAGTGTGAGCTGACGTGCCACCCTGACTTTTATACAATCGGGGATAAATCGCACAGTGTGAGCCAGGATTAACGCATGACATTATAAAAAGGCTAACTGGAGACGGTATAATTATTGGCTAGTTTTAAGGACAGGAAAAGTTTTATGACCCAAAGAATGTTTCTTAAAACTTTCAACCTAAATTTGGTTTGTTACTCACTGACCAAAAATAATATACATGTGTCAACCAACAAGAAAGTGGACCTGATGTCTGGCTAATCAAATCAGCACTTGAGTCCAATCAACAGACTTTTTTTCCGCACAACAAATACAAATAAGAGAAGTTTTACTGTGAATGAGGTGACCTGCTATCTTTCTAAATTTGGCATTCGTTATTGGTGAATTGGTTTGTGCAGGATGACTGCTAGTAGCAAGAAAATTTAGTTTTTTGGACATTATTCCTTTTATTTTTTTTTACCACATTCCTAAGTGTGCTTCCTATTATTTGATTTGAAAAGTGAAACAGCTCCTATTAAACCTAACACACTGTTTTGTTCTCCTTCATCGTGCCACTGCGTCTCGGTCAGACCACTGCCACCCGTGATTATTCGATTACCCTGGACATCTGTGCCATTCTTAGCATGCCCTGCCCATCCTGCCATTTTAGAGATTGTGTGTGTGTGTATTTATGTGTGTGCTGGGGGTTAATCTAGGTCCCAGAAGGGGGGGAGGGGATGAGGCAGTGGCCCAGGAAATGATGCATCTCCTGGGAGTCAAGACGGCAGCAGGGAGATGGCTTATTGCTCCGGGGGAGCACAAATGTGGTCTATTATATTTATTAAATCGAACGATCAAGGCTCCGCATGTTCCTTCTTTGTTAGATCAAAGCAGTGACCAAATGTTGTTGTTTTTTCTCCACAAATGTTTAAAGACTCCTCCTAACCCTTTTATGTGTGTTTTGTAACTGCAGTGAAGTGAGTGGAGGAAAACAATGCACAACTCTAAAGTTTCATTTATTCAGAAACATTAAAAAAAAGAAACGTTTCTGCATGTGGCCAAAATAGAAAATGTACACTAGCCAGTGAATATAGGCTGTCAATGAAAGAGTTGTTCAACTCTCTTGGCTGCTTTGTAAGGAACCAAACCATCAGTAAGAACCTCTTCTCCGCCCCTGAAATGATTTTTTGATAGTGGACAGGGTGGTTCACCAGATATGAGGTTAAACTTCCACTGATGGTTAAACAGCTTTTGTGTACATCAAACTCTCTTTTCCATTCCTCAGCTGTAGACTCAGCAGGATTTTTTACATTTGACTTGAGTGAGGAGGCATAAACATACTTTTCCTCTGGAATCAATCAGCATGCCAAGAATAACAGGCCCTACTCCTGGGCTGTTAACAATATTACAAACATCCGGACTTGTTTAGATTTTGCTGAGAGCCTGAGTGTGCTGCTTGGACTGTTTCAGATCCTGAAAAGTGATAAAAGGCTATCTGCTTTGAGCAGGATTCTGCTTATACATTTCATACAGGCTGCCAGAAACTTTGTAACTGATGTCTTCACAGCTTTTAACTTTAGACTTGGATCAGCCATAATTCATCGAAATGCTGACTCAGTTGGAGAGTTTCACCTTAGTAATGTTTAAGTTACATAACATGACTTGAGATAATGACTTTACTGCTGTCAGAAATAAAGACTCGATCCAAAAGCTCTGAGCCTTAAACTTTAGCCCTGAGACTTAAGAATCGACTTTGTTGGACACAATTTAAAACATGACTTAAACTCTGCAAAAAAAACAACAATTTATCTTAAAACTAAGGGGTTTGAACTTGACATTTGTGAGACATGACTCCCTAAGCCATAAGAAGTGAAAAAAGACGACATTCAAATCTCGTGAGATCATGGATCTTTTGTGGACAAGTTAAGAGACTCAGATTTGCCTCAGAAAAATAAAAAAAAATGAAAGTTTGAATTGGATTACAAAAAGGTAAGGACCTGGAACATGACATTTGTAAGGAAAGAGATTAAGAGCGCCAAAGTAAATTTTCTGGCCTTCAAACACTAGAGACTTGGCGTTACACTTCAAGGTTGACTTGTACTTTCCATAGTAGACTAGAAAACTATGGTTGGTTCCAAAATGAGGTCTTAAGACTTGTTGTTGTTAGATTTAACTGATGTGTCTTGACGCCTTAAAGACTTAACTTGGCATAATCCTTAAACAAAAATCATGAACAAGGTCTCATGCCTTACCTTAAAGATCTTTGGCCTTTGTAGGACATGTCAAAAGCCTTGAGACAGTACCTCAATCCAGGTCACAAAAAAGGAGGACTGGAGACTTTACTATCTGAAGCCTTGATGTTGGTTGTTTGAGAAAACATACTTTTAATGTGACACAAGACTTCACTTTGCCTTAAAACAGTTGAAAACAGCTCTAGAGATTTGGGCTAGAGTCAAACTTGATAGCTCAAAACATTGGCCTTGAAGCTGGACATGACACCGTCAAGATTAGACTGTCTTGAGTCTTTGCTTGAGATTCCCAGTCCCTATACCAAGATACTGAAGTGTAAGACTTGAGGGTTGACTTGAACCTGCCCAGAAAAATACCTGAAAACTGTGAGAATCTTAAACCCTAATTTTTACTTGATTGCTGATAAATTGGACTAACTTTTGTGTTTACTCTTAAGACTAAACTAACAGCCATAATATTATAACTGTATGTTTTATCCTAGGCAGCTAAAACTGCTGCTTTACTTGGATTTTCTAAAAGGACTTGAGACCTTTTTTGAACAACATTTAGCTTGAACTTTTCCTTAAAAGAGCTCTGGATGCTTTTTTTTCCCCAGACAGACCACTTCATAGTCGAATGAGCTTTAGACACAAAATCAACACCATTAGAAGCAAACAATCGCAACGAGTACAAAGGTTGATGCCTCCAGTGCGACAACATCCTTCTTATCTCGTGTTACATTACCGCTGAAGCCTCGTAAATCTGAGACATGAGTTTGCCTGTTTTAAAAGACGAAACGTACGGGTTCAAATAAGGATGACTTCAACAAGAATGATGCGTTTAGGAAGACGAGCCAAGAACTGCTTTTGTTTGAAGGCAGCAATGCGAGAGGTCAAAGTGATCAATAAGGCGTGGATAGCTTTGCATTCTTCCTATTCTCTCCCATCATTACTCCCTTACTCCCTTTCTGCTCTCCATCTGTAGCACTGTTTTCAGTTTGTTCTGGAAAACTCTCAAGGTTTCTTAAGCGTCTTGTTTATCCTTGTATACTTTTTTTTTCCTAGTCTCAACATCAATGTGTGAAGAACAATCTTTGGCCTTGGAGCAGCTTTCCTTTGAGATACAGTACGAGCTGCCTGTACGTGATCTCTTGCGTAATTCTGACTTGCAGTGTGCATTTGTAACAGGCCTGTATATGTAGCACACAATCCCACACGCATGAGTGGATGATTTAAGCGTGAGTAGTGCATGATGCTTTTGTGTGACGAGCCAACTGTTGGAAAAACAGCATGCCTGCGTTGGTTTTCTTGGATTTCCTGTGAATGCATGCTGCTGTCAGCTACTGTATGTCTATGAGCAACTTAAAAACACACAAAACCCCTCCTCCACCTCCTCCTCCACCTCTTCCGACCATCTGCCTGGTACAACCACTACATAGATCTTGTGTGTGGTCGAATGCTTTCCCCTCTCAGTATATAGAGAGAGTGACGAAAGGACGGACAAAAGACCTTCCAGAAGGCTTGTGGGATTCCTCTTTGGTTTTCTGGTACCTCTATCAATCACAGCCCCTACATCTCCCCTCTTCACCTCCCTATTAATGTCCTTTTTTTCAAACCCCTCTGCTCGTGCAGTTTTCCCTTGAAACATATTTCATTAATTCCTGTGGCTACATATCATAAGATCGACCCAATCCTTAGGGAAAAATAAGAAAAGGAGGGAAAGGGGAGTCATTTCTCTTACCCCCCCCCCCCCCCACATTTACACATGTATGAAAGGAGGTAACAAATGGGGAGGGGGGGAGTGGGGGGGGGGGAGAAATAAAATCAGCAGCCCACCTGACAGGGAAAAGGTTTTATACGGATTTTATTGGGAGGAGGGGATTCCATGATGTAAACCAGCCAGTGGCATCAATCTCGCCCCTCGATCGCTCACAAAATGACAGCGTAGAAATGACAAATTCTCCCCTCCTCCTCCGGAACACACCCTGCTTTAGATGCAATTAACCCAGATGCTACAGAAACAGAAAAACAATGACTGCACCCCAGACAATTAAAAAAAATCCTACCTTAATTTTTCTGTGTTAAGTCTCCCTTTGTAACCCTAAACGCATCCAGTCCTGCAGAGTAGTATCCAAGCTCTTCTGTCACACACAAATACACACACACAGTCAGTCACTAAGCAAGAGCAGGCAAATGCATCCACGCTCATAACACACACTCCTCTCTCTGTATGCCTTTCTCTCTCTCTCTCTCTCTCTCTCTCTCTCTCTCCAGCTGAGATCCTCTCTGCCTCCCTCCTCACTGCTGCTCTGAGTCTCCACCCTTCAGCCAAACACTCAGGCTACGAGAAACTACCCTATTCCTCCTCCTCTTCCTCGTCCTCCTCCCCCCTCTGTCTTTCTCTTCTCTGATATCTGTGCACACTCCCTCCGCCTTGCTGAGGTCCATTGGAAAAGCCACGACTGTCTTTTCGAACAGCAACAGTAAACAAATGCAAACCAGAAAAACTGACAGTCTGGACGAGCTGGATTTTTGCTTAGATAAATATTCACTCGAATCCCAGCATATATTTTAGCTGCTTCATTTCCCTCCTCTTAACTCACACGCCTGCCAAGTGCAGTGTGCTGTATAAGTTTGCTGGCATTGCATGACAAAATTAACTCAATCAACCTTCAAAGACAGCAACACCCTGCATGACACATACGACGTACAACAGTCAGAGTTGAGGCTTTTAATTTTCAGACCACTCACCATTACAGTTTAGCTGCCAAAGAAGGACACAAACTAAAAAAAAAAAAATATGACAGAGAGACAGACCCAGCAGCTAGACACGAATGTTGAAACAACGAGCATAAACAAAGAGCTCACATGTCCATCGTTAATATCTCAGTTGTGATGTTCTAGATTTTCTGCTTGTAACATGGCACCAAATCCATGTTATGTGTGCTGCCGTGTAGCTTCTTCATACATTGAAAAGGGGTTTCTCACATGAAATAAGGGTGTGTTTGGCTACCTTACTGTATATATATGTAGGTGTTTTTGTCTGTTAGGATGAAAGAAAATAAATCCAGTGAAACACGATAAAACAGCACTTTTACTGCCTATGAGTTGGGGATAATAATGCAGTGTCTGTTTATATTGTAGTGTTTATATTTATACTGTAGATATTAACTCTATATCTCGATCGCTAAACCTGCACGCATGGGCTTTATGACAAATCGCTTACATTTCATTTCTTCATGATTTATTCGCAAAAAGACAATGAACTGTGAAAATCTGGAACCCCATTTGAAGAACAACAACTCATTTGATAGTATAGTTATGGCCTTAATTACTAGCTAAGGGTAATGTTACCTAGGAAGTGATTGAATGCTAACATCAGATTTGCTGTCTGAGCGTATCAAGAGATACCAAAAAAGTTATTTACCTTTGGCTGATATCCTTCCTCCAGATGTCCTTTTTCGGTTTCCTTTTGAAATGCTGACAAATTGTAAAGCTGTTAAGTTGTGCTGCACTAACATGATAAACTCACAGCTCATTTAAAAAGGAGAGGTTATACGTCCGTCTCTCCGACTAATATTTAAGAATTAATCCTTTTGCAAAGCTCCAGCAGTTAAAGACAGGATTTAGAATTTCTTAGATGTAAACCCTTAGCGAATCATGCTGATTGTAAGTTGTTATGTTGTTTTCCATTTTTATTTAAGTTTTGAGGAATTAACACCTTTTACTGTATGCATGTTTAAATACTAAGCACTATGCATGCATCTGTGCATATGCTTACTGTAGACCTGCATTTCCTTTCATCCATGTATCCATCAATCTTTATTTGTAAAGCGCCAATTCATGCAATCCATGTTCTTTGCCTGCAGGTAAACTCAGTTACTCATCTTCGCCCCACTGAACTGAAGCGATCTGAACGTTAAATTCTCTGTGATTCACATTTTCCTTAGCTTCATTCATGCAGATGTTTTTTTCTCCATGAAACACATCCAAGCATAGACAGAAAGAGAGGAGGAGGAGGAGGAGGAAGATGGAGAATAAGTGAGTCATGGTTCCTGTTGAGCCGTACACAGGAAGCCTCTGTCACCGAGACAGCACATTGATCTCTGATAACCCTTCCTGGGTCCCCAAAGCCACTTTTCAAACCTTTAAGCCTCACATACTACCGAAGCCCTAACAGATGAGCTCAAGTTTCTCTTTATAGACACCTCTTGTTATGTCCCACATTAGTCTGAAACATAAATGAGCTTGAAGGTGGACAATCACAAGATCTTTGCTGCTTCTCAATTATTGCTGAAATTGATAAAAAATTGAATCTACTTAATCGCACAGTGGTAGTTGTTTTATTTGTCTTTTGTAAGGATCTCTAATGGTCCTGAGGAGCATAGAATCAAACAGAAATAATGAACAAAGAACAAAACTGAGACTTTAGATCATGACTTTCCTCAGTTTTGTTTTTAGTTACTAAACATGAAGCAGTAATGTAAACAGGTAATTCCTTACTTTAAGGCAGCAAATTCAACATTTTCTCTCTTGTCTTGCAAAAAAAAAAAAAAAAATTCAACATTTTCACCCTAAGCCTAATTTTAGCTATTTTCAACTGTACTTTTAGCTTACGATTTCAACTGTTTATCCATAAGAGTATTGTGGCTTACAATTTGAACTGCTTTATTAGCCTATTTTTAGCAAAGTGTTTCAACTGTGTGCTTAGCCATTAGCTTACTTTGGGCTTACTGTTTTCAACTGGTACTCAATAAGCCTTCTTTAAGCTAACTGTTTCAGCGGTTTTAATAGTTTAAATAAAATAGCTCTATTTAGCTGTTTATCCGTTAGCCTAGTTTTTGGCAAGTTCTTTTAAAAAAACGTTGCATCCTCTAGTCTATCTTAAAGGAAGAATGTGCGACATTGTGCACATAAATACAGCAGAAATCAAGTTTATACTCTGTGAATGTCTCTCTGAGTCACGACTGTCTACAATGAGTGAGAAGCGCGAGTCCTGCTGGCTGTGTCGTTGTCAGGCTGTGTATACATGATGTTTACATGGGCGGGGCGGACTTGCGTATAAAGCTGTTTTAGTCGAGGGCTAGAGAAAAGAAGACTAATCAATGTGAAGCTATAAGTTAACCAAAGTGTGCTAACACTAGCCTGCGAACGTAACAATGCTGGTCACAGTCAATTGACGCTCAGGCAAAGGACAATTTTGTCCGCCGCGTGCGCTTATGGTGCGTTCTAATTCATAACTTCATTGTTTGACCGTGAGTGGAGAGGGGGTTGGAGGTGTGCCGCTGGAGGAGAGCGGAGGCTTTAGAATAGCGGAGGAGTCGTCAAACAGCGGTTTGTTTTGGTTTAATGTTGGCGCTCAAGTGCGACATCTACTGGATCAGAAAGTCGCACAGTCTTCCTTTAAGCAATTTGTTTGTACAAATAACTTATTTCTTATAGCTATATATTTCAACTTTTTTATTTTAAACATTAATCTTCTTTTAGGTAACTAATGCGACTATTTCCACTGTTTATCCGCCAGCCTGCTTTAAGCTAACTTTTTCAACAGACCATTCAGCCATAAAATGTATTTTAGTATGTCAACCGTTTACCCGTTACTTTAAGTTAAACTTCTCTGCTTGCTTGCTATCTAGCGTTCATACATTCTCGTATTCAGGTGCACAGCCTAACATGATCCCTTCATACAACTTACAACAGAGACCTCCTTGAGGAACAAGTAGGCTGCCCTGGCTTGGGAATCATCGTCCCTAGCTAATACGTTCTGGCCTTGTTGCATCAGCAGTGACAGTATAGTAAAACCCTCCCTTCTTCTATCACTAGAGAAGAGATAAAGCCAGAGATTTCTTTATTTGTAATCTGATTACTATGTTTTATTATCGGCTCTGGGGATCAGCTTTGAACCTTGTGGTGTCAGTGCAGCTGTTTTGGTTAATAGGCTGGTTTATTAAGTGCTGTTAATCCACCTCTCAGATGACACGGGTAAATGTGGTGACTTGCAGGTTTACTAAAATTGTCTTTTCTACTGTAAAAAACAACGCATTTTTAGTTTAACGTAGGCGCTGAAGTAAATGTCAGTTTTTCATGAACGAGTAGATATTCTCATAGATTCATATTAGGGGTTTCATGACCTAAATTGTAGCACAAAAATGTCTTTCTCAAAAAGGCAGAGAGTAATCATGTACAACAGGTTAACATATAACCTCTTTTTACACACTCGATACAACAATGGCGGTTTTGGGTGAAGTCTATGATGATGAAGGTTTTTTTTTTAAATGATTCTGTACTAACAGTGTTTTTATGTGTGTTTCTACAAGAGGTAGGGTTATCACAACCAGCGGGGGAGGGGCCTGGATTTTAATTCTGATTTGTGACCATCTGGCTCCTCCAGGCAGCTGCCGGCCCAAGCTGAGCAGAGCCACCCCGCCTAGCTAGCTGCTCTGCCCCGATGCCCCATGGGATTTACAGAGAGGTCAGCACTGCTGCTAGAGACACAGTGTCATCTAATACTCTCAAACAATCAGCTCAAATGATCACACACACACACACACATACTCATAGATACAACGATAAGATGGGTTGCAGTTTAAGAGAGGATGTGAATAAAGAAATTGTTTTAAGTAACATCCTCGTTAAGGGAAAAAAGGCCACGATCGTTTCAAATAAAATAAAAAAATCACAATTCTTGCTCTGAATGGATCTACACCTAATTCAACAAGACAAAAGAGAGGCGATGGTAGAAGGGGGTGGGGACAGAGAGACGGAGAGAATGGATTTCCCCCCAAGTGTTGCCATGGCGACAGCAGTGGATAGTGGATGACTGATTTCCTGTACAGCTGTGGAGCTCGAAGGGTAGAGAGAGAGAGAGAGAGAGAGAGAGAGAGCGAGAGAGACACGTTATCTGTGAAAGAAGAAGGAGGTGGAGCTTGCTGAAGAAAGCATCCATGTTTTCTCTTAAATGTACAAATTCTTAGTACTGATTAGTTTCTTTTTCTGCCTGCATGATACAGGAATTGCGTTCTTTTAGAAATGGACTAAGTATTTATTTTCTTCTTCCACAATCTGCAGGGTTACATTTGCATGTTTCATGGACGACAGTTGTAAAAAAATATCACAACAGGCAACCACAGGACAAAAATTAGTAACAGACACAAAGGTTCTAATACTTACATTTCTTACATTTCAGGGTGATCGTAAAATCGCATACCAAACATAAAACCCTACAATTGCTATCCATGATTCTCTTTATTTCAGTCTTTTTTTCCATATACCTTATAAGAGAAAATGTTTTGTTTCATCAAATGTTTGGAGAGCTCTTCATGTGCCTTATAGTGAAAAATGTTGTACCGACATCAATAACAAATTAAGCTTCAAGTCAATGAATTTAAAGAAAGCTTCTCTGCTAAATCATTTGAAACAGTATTTGAGATGGCAGTTTCTGCTACACTGCTAGGAGTAATTATAGCTTCTTCTTTTTCCTCATCATAATTAGATTTATTTGGTTATGTTCAATGACAAGCTGGCATATCAAGTCATCTCTGGTAAGGTGTCAGAAACATTCATTTTGTGGATTAGTACATTTGAGCCGTGTAACTAGTAGGCTGACAAACTAGCTAGTTAACTTGTCGCGCTTTACCTGTGTAGCTCACATTGGTTGGTTTATTTTTTATTTCTATTTTATTGTTAAATAAAATGTTTTCCCCTTGTTTTCTTTGTTAATGGCACAATTCTGTGGCGTTCTTCTTTTTTTCTCACCTAAAAGCCAATTCCTAACCAAAGTTCCAACTGTTAGCTTTTTGTGAGCATGTTGAGGCCTAAAGATTGCAGACACGCTGGTTGTTTCTTAAGAGACGATCCACAAAGTCTGCTTCTGTTCAAGTCTCTGAGCTTTTTTCATTGAAGCCCGTCGCTATCAGCCAAGAAAGTGAAAACATACAGAAGTGTATTGCATTCACATGAGAAAATAAAAAAAGTCTTTCTGAATTAATTTGATAATTACCTTGGTTTGATTGTATTAACTGTTACAGTTCTACTCTGTTTTTCTCAACTCATGAGAGGTGGGTGATCCCACAGTAGAAACGGAACCTAAAAGTACAAGTAAGACATGCAGCATCCGGCCTATGAGCTTTTCAAGTGTCAGATTTATTAGGTAGATTGAATTGAGGAGGAGGAAGAGGAGGGGAAACAAAGGCACTTTAATAAGAACTGGGGCCAGCTAGTATATAGACCATTTGTCAGCATTAAGTTGTAGGAAAGTATTAGCTCTGTAATATTTTCATATTAATCTCAATCTAAAGCACATTGAACTAATGTGCTGACGTGCTCTACAGATAAAATTGCAACGGCTACTTTTCCTTCATTATTTTGTAAAACTATATCAAATGTAGCAACACCAAGTTTAAATAGAAGCATCCCCAAACAAATTTATATTTCATTGTGAAACAGCGGTTATAAATACTAAACTGTTTGTTTTCCGGTAGCCAGCCACCTACAGTAGTGTGTTTCGATGTGGCAGAAACATCACTGCTGCTGTGTCCCATGTGTTAGCATACACTGCCACCTTCTGGCCAAACTAAAACCTACCTGAAAGCAAGCTTCCACCAGAGGGCAGCACACACTAATAAAACAGAAGACAATTATTTAGTGATAGTCATGGTGTATATTTATGTTATATTTTTATTGGAAACAAGTCCATCATCTTAAATAAACTTACAGGCATACAGTACTTTTTATTTTTTAGCTGTTTTTCAATTAACTATATTTCTTTGATTTTTTTATTGTCATATTTCATTTTTGAAACTACAAACAAAAGAAAAAGCTCACATATAGAAATCACCACATAAGAACAGAACGTTGGCAAATAATTGTACCTTTTTATTAGATATTGAGGGCATTAGTACCAAGAAGGCACAGACCAAACTTCATAGTAACATTTCTTTTGTTTTTAACTACAGGGTGACAAAAACATATCCTGAAGGGGGATCCTTTCACAGAAAGGATTATGGGCACGAACATACAGACTTACAGTCGCTTACATATTGTAAGTTTGACCATATATGGAAGTCAGAAAATGTAGTAAAAACAAATTATGCAGACTTTAAGGACGTGGGTTATGACTATGGCTATGTACCTCAACACTGTTTGAATATAAGAAACTTTGTCCATCAAACTATGACATGTTTTCATTAATGAGAAGAAACAGCTTCAAAACAGTAAGAGGAAAACATGTAAGAAATATAAAAGTTATTATAGAGCAGTATCTCATTTATGTGTTACACAAATGTTTTTTTTTACTTGTTAAGTTGCTGCATTACCTGCATGTAAAAACAAAAGTATTTTAAAAATGGCATGGTGTATCTGATAGCTGACCAGAACAAAAATAAACAAAAACGACACAGTGATCTAGAATGATTTCACATCTTGTATGAGTTTGAAAACACTGACAGCGTTTGTCTTACAAAATGACACGACCTAAAGGAACAATGAGTAAATAAAACAAGCTGAAGTTTGAATGAAAACTTAGGCCGTTTGTTGTTTGACAGACATGTTGTATATAAACTCTAAAAGCTTCATTTCAACTTAAGATGTAAGAAAAAAATAAACATCTCATCTGCAGATGAACTGTTACAGTGAAAGCCACAGAATTCATGGAAAAGTATGAAGATTTAGTAAGAACTATTATCACTTTTGCTGCCGGGAGTGAAAAGATTGATATCACTCATCTTTCTGTAAGATGTGGAGGAAGCTGACACAAAGGTTAGCTTAGCTAAAGGTAAAGAATTAAAGTGTGGGGGGGGGGCGTGGCTCTTCAATGGTTAAAAATACACCAGTTTGTCTTTGAACACATTATTTTATGTTTGAATTGTACAAAAGAAAAATCACACAAACTTGAAAATGAGCTGCATGTGTGTGTTTGAGTATGTTATGGCAGGCAGCAGGGATTTCTCGCTTTATCAAGAAATTGTTCTGCAAATTCTGTAACCCTGCTGTGATATATAGAATTGTTACTTTTCAAGTGTTGCTTTTTAAAGTAAAAAGTAATAAGCTGGTAGTGTCATATAGTTGTGGATGGTGGGGTATTGTTAGTGAGGCTATCAATGCGAGGTTTGGCAAACTGTCTTTTCTCTGTGGCTGAATATTAAATGTAGGGATATGAGATTGTTTTACAAGATTCTCATTGAACTCTCTGCATGAAGGAGTAATAAAAGCCCTTCACCTAAACGATGAAATATTCTTTTAATATCACAGCCCAGCAGGATCTGCTTTTTTTATTTTATATCTTCAGGATCTTTAAACTTAATACGATTTCATTTCAAATAAAAAGAGTTATTCTGGGGTCTCATTCATTTTACAGTGCAGTGTTTCCCAACACATATGAACACGAGTCAGGCTCTTATTGAAGAGAAGCTGAAAACTTGATTGGATTTTTAAAAAGTATGACAAAGTTGATTTAAAGAGCCCATATTATGCCCTTTTTGAGGTTCGTATATTTAATCTATGTACCTACTTTTGTACGTTCACAATAGCTAAAGTTGGAAAAAAGTGTCTGTTTTCATGTACTGCTCCTCCTTGCTCCCTCTACGCTCTGAGTCCGTCAGCTGCACTCTGTTGAGCCCACACTGTTAGACCCCACGTGGGCCAAGTCTGCTCTGATTGGTCTGCCGATCCGCTCTGTCGTTATTGGTCAGTTGCTCAGCATGCTTCTCGGAAATTTCATCATGAGCTGCTGGGCTTGCCACAACGAGCCAATGGGCTTAGATCAGTGATCTCACACTGACAACGACGTCAGACTGACAAATTTTTATCGAGGGGGGGCTAGAACCGAGCGTTACATGCAGCTAACGCTACAGCTAACAGGAGGACGTAGGAGAAGCCGCGTTTCCAAGACTTTGAATTTTTGCACATAGATGTGCCTAAACATGCACAGGACACTTGGAAAACACACTAAAGGGCATATAAACCAGAAAAAGCATAATATGGGACCTTTAAGCATATAAAACTGTTTCTTATTTTTTAATTGCATGTACGGCGCATTAATAGATTCTTTTGAGACCGCTCGTAGCATCCTGTCAGAGACCACAGTCCTCTTTAGCTTGTCAGTTTAAAAAGATGAAAGCCACAAACATCACACGTCCTTAATACTGTCACATACATATTGTTTGTAATACTGAAGGATATCAAGCACACACAATAACTGTTAAACATAAACAAGTCTGGACAGCTTATACAAAAAAAAAAAACACGTAAAAAGCTTTCAGGTAAAACAAAAAGGATGCAAAATAAAAAAAGATGAAACCAATTCCAGTTAATGATCAGGGTGACACAAACAGGAAGACAAAGGTGAAATCAAGCCGAGCACGAAGGAAGACTTGCATGTTTGCATTAACATGTAAGTTTTTTTTGTTTTGGCCCACAGCGAAGCCATGGCGGCCTCCATTTTGAGTCTAGATTACAGGGAAGCTTTCGTGGCCGCACACTAGACTCAAGTCTGGACACGCAGGAAGTAACTCAACTTCATTCCTGCAAGAAAGCTCAGTCTGATTTCACAGGACAAGGAAACATTTTGAAATCATTCTGACATGTTTTGAAATGCTAAAAAACGGGCTTGATCTAATAAAGGAGTGTGTGTGTGTGTGTGTGTGTGTGTTTAAAAATAGTGTCGTGCTTTGTGTTCTGATGGCTTGGATCTTAAAAGGTGAGGGTGTGTGATTGTCAAGGCGACGGTTTGACACCTGCATAGAGGGATGAAGGCACATCGGTGTGTGTGTTCATGATTAAGAGTTCAGTCTGAGAGGCGGGAGTTGGCACACTGCACTTCCTGTTGAGGTAAAATGAAGTGGTGTAGAAGAAGAACAGAGGGAAGGTTCATCTCCCCTCCTTCCCTCCATGACTTTGAAATGTGTGTGAGGGCAGTTTTTTTTCTTTCTTTCTTTTTGTCTTTGGTTTGTAGCTCAGAGTGACTTTGTCCTTTGTGTCCTCCAGAGAACTTTGATATGCTCTTCATGTCTGTGCATGAGTCTCTGTCAGCTGTAACACCTCGTGCATTCACACACTTCTTTTGTCTTTAGTAAGGAGGAAAACACAACATGTGGTTCTTAAAAACAGTCCGTAGGAGACACATTTGAATAAAAATGTTATTTAAAAGATGATGACACAATCCCTTTTTGTTTCCTTTCACACAGGGGAGCAGCTCAGGTTACGTTTTTTAAGACGCATTTTCTCTTTTTTGTTCTTTAAGTTCCCATTTCAGCCAGGATCCTCCATGTTTGTTCATGTGTTATTCGTCTGAGCAGCAGCAGACTTCTTGCCAGTTTACTAATAACTGCTGCCAAGAATAGAAACCACCTCTCAAACGCTCCTCTCTCATCTCGTTCCCTGAGGGCTGAAACATTTCCACATCTGACACGAGTCAGAAAAGGTCACCCTGAGGTCGCCTCTTTTCTGTTTCTGTCACACCACGAACTCGGGGACCTCGTCGCTGGTCAGGTCCAGGGAGAAGTACTTGTTGGTTCTCTTAATAGGAAACGGGTGCTGCTCACTGAGCATGCCGGCACGCTGCTCGGCCAGGCCCTGATAGCCCCCGCCGCCGTCGCTCAACTCCTGAGCGCAGCCGAATGTGTAGCTGTGGGCAGTGTCCTGGCAGAGCTCCGCCCACTGCAGGCAGTCCTTCTGGTAGAGCCGGATGTCGTCGAGAGACTGGCTGTGACGATCTGTGGAGGACTGAGGCTTCCTGCAAGCTGATGTCTGTTTGTGGAAACCAAGAAATTCAATATTACCAAGCTGCAGTAACATTTCCCGCTAATTTACGAATTAATTAAGGCTAATGCAGGTTCACACCTTGCTGTGATTAGTGAAGTGTGATTTACCTGTGGCAGAGACTCGATGCTCTGTCCTCTCATCTTGACGACGGTCTCAGAGGAGCTGGATGTGGAGGAGCTGACGTCTTTCACTATCAGTCCTGCAGAGAACAGAAGAAAACATTTAGCTTAAGTATGAAACAAGTTACTGAATGGCAGATAAAAAGGAAATTCACACTCAGCGAACATGCTTCTTTATGAGTGTCTGACTCTGTTTGGTAACTAAGAATAATAAAGTATTACACTTCTGCAGGAAGTACAGTTCACCCTAAATGACTCTTAACAGGTGAAGAAGTCAAATTAGATCAGGAAGATTTTGAACCATCTCTACCTGAGTATCCGTTGCTCTGATCAGGTGACATGGTCAACATGTCCTCTGTGATGTGGATACACAGCTCCTGGTCCAAAGCCATCTCATGAAGCTCCTCGTAGTCTTTGGGGTCGTCAACCAGCATCTCTATTTCTAAGGGAAGAAATCAAGTCCAAATTAAAAACAAGTCTAGAGTCTTCTGTTGGTGATCTTTAAATTTCAACAGGGACTATTCTTAGATTAGCTATTTGTATAGAAGTGCCCATGAGCCAGTTATTACTGTAAATGAATGTGCCTCAACACGGTTTGTGGTCTTAAGTCAATTCTTTAAACCTATTGTTAGAAAACAAAAAAGACATAAATAACTTTAGTATATTAGTATTATATTTGTACTTCTTCTACACAAAGGAAATGCTGCTGAGTCTGGTTTGGCATTAAGAATTAAACACCAACTCCACATTAACCCTCCTCTCTCACCATCATCATCCAGTATGCGCTCCTTGCCGCTGCTCTCGATGCCGGAGGTGTGTGAGCTCCCGTGGCTGGTTGTGGATGAGCTGCAGGTTCTTAGGGGCCTGTGGGGTGCCTGACCCGGGGCCCTGAAGCTGTCCGTCTCGATGCCCGAGGTGTGTGAGCTACCATGGCTGGTGGTGGAGTGGCGGGACAGGCGTTTGTGATGAGAGACGCTCCCCGCACTGCTGCCGCTGGCCCGGGAACGTTTGTCCAGATGGTCCATGTCCAGCTCGAGAGCGTCACTGATGTACGACTCCCTGTACTGCTTCTTCTCTGATATCAGACAAATACACACAGATACACACAGATTTAACGAGAGCTACAAAGATGAAATGATTACTGGATCAATCAATCCAAAGAAAATTAATCAAACAAATGTTTTGACCAGTGATGAATTATTCCAGTCAAGTCTGAAGCTGTAATGTTTACCTTTAAACATTTACAGAGTTTAAATGCAGCTACAAGACAGTTAGCTTAGCTTAGTTTAGTTTAGCACAAACGCTGGAAAACAGGTAGAACCAGATGGCTCACTCTAATCTTAGTCGACAAAATCACCTAACATCATCTCTCAAACTAACTAATTGTCACATTCTTTTGTTGAACCATTACATAAACAGTTGAATTAGCCAATCTGAGCTTTCACTAGCTATGGGTTGGAGGATTTTTCTTGGAGTATGGTATGTTTGTGTTCACACCGATCAAATGAACCGGACTTTAGGGTCAAGTCTTCTCGGATCCGGGCCCGGGTCCCTCATGTGAAACCACCCTGAATCTTTCAGTTTTTTTCTCTTTTTTTCCCTGTTTTTGCACAGAATGTAACACACGATGAGCAATGATCAAATGTAACTGGGAAATACCTTCATTTTCCTCCAGTCGTCGGACTTGTTTGAGAACAGGCTGCAGGTTCATGTAAAGCCGGTGGCTGTTACTGAGCAGCTGCAGGAGGTGGCGAGAGCGCACAGGACAACCTGTGTAGTAGATGAGTTTACGGGCTGAGGGAAGACCATCGGGGAGGATTTCAAACTTCTTCCCCTGAGAGAGCAGAAGAAGACAAAGAAAAAGATAGCACATGATGACAGGAGACTTTAATTTATAGCAGTTAATAATATTAAGTTAATGAGGTATGTGGATTTGAAAGTGCCAGAGAGGCCTGAAGGCAAACCACAGAGAGGAACTGAGCCTGTTCTTAAAACTATTATGCAGCCAAACACAATGCGACAATCAGTGCATCCGTTCTTAACTTCTTCATACACACACTGAGACGGAGCACTTTAGAGCATATTTGATGATTTTTGCAGGAGGAGGACATGTTGGGTGAATGCACAGAAACACTAAAATGGTGGGTTTGTGCTTTCTCTCCAGTTTCTTTTGGCAAAGGCTTAGCCCCAAAACAGCTGTCTTTGGTGTCAGCGAGATTGTTTTCAATACAGACCTCTAAACATTTCTGCAAAGGTTTGGGCTTTCAGAGGCGAGGGGAGGGTTTAAAGCTCTGCAAAATGCAAAGAGCTGCACATTTCTGACCGCAGCAATGCACGTTCACTTCATATATATCCAATCCTTTTAAAAAGAAACAAGCTTGATCCAAGTATGTTTACAAGCTGTGCACATGTTGGGAAACACGTTACAGGTATGAAGCTGTGTGGTAAAGGCAAATAAGTTCATAGAAACCAACTAAGAGTACATTGACAGTGGCCTTCCTCTGTCTGACAATTATCTCAATGCAGAGTTATCATTGAAGCTAAAGACTTCCTCTAAAAAAGGCAGAAAACTGTGTTTGAGGAAAATGAAGGACACATTCTGTTCCTTCCCTTCAGTAGAGTATTTGTCTTTAACCTCAAACTGCAGCTCCTGGTGGCCACCAGTAAAACAATGAAATCGCACTGAGCGGTTAGGGTTTGGGTGAATGAGCCAAAGAGAACGAGTCAAAGAAGGTCACTGCTGCACGACAACTCTTTTCTTAACCCTTTGGACCAGGCTCCCTTTTCGTCTTGCTTGGGATAGGTGAATATTGAACATAATCCAAAAACTAAACACATTATGTTTAATCCATTTTCATAGTAATGCATGCACACATTTCTGCAACTTTCAGGTTAAGTTAGATGATCAGATTTTCAGTAATGATTAGCTTTGGCCTTAGGTTGTTTGAATTTCCAAATCTACACCATGGAAGGTCCAATTAAGCAGTCCTTGTTTTCAGTGTAACATTTAAGCACTTTGTATAGACTGCTTTAAGACCTTTAGATATAGGGATATGTGATTGGCTCCAACTGCATTTATTAGACTCTTAGGGACTGAAATTGTTTGAATTTAAAACCAAAACATGACAAATCAATGGCTTCACTGCTGGTGGTTGCAGGCTGAATGCACACAGCAGCAGACTGGTGTCAGGTTTTAGATTATTAAAAGGTTTTCAGAGGCCTCTTTTCTCCTGTTTCATGCAGTACACATGGTCAGTCCATCTAAACTCTCCACTGAGGACAGCTGGACAACTTTCTCCTCTTTCCAAAAATTCCTCCCAAACAGGCCACACACATCGAAAACTCCCAGCGTCACACGGGGGCCGTTTTCATCCAAAAATCCCTCAACAAGACCAACATCAACCAGAAAACTGGCGAGGTTATTAAGGGAGTCTCTCCAATCCAACACCACAGGACACGAGGGGAATGACTTCATTTGTAAATGCAGGGGGAAACAATCAAACTCTCAGGAGGGGCATATATACAGCTTTATTTCTTCTTATTGCATCAGAAACACTGAATTCGACAACTCCTTGCTTTTCAAGGATGAGCTTAAGTTCTCTCAATGCAAGGATGAGCTTAAGTTATCTTGGCCAATATGCTGAAAAGAAAAACCCTGAAACCATCGTAACATATGGTATTTATCGGCCCGCATGTCCCTCCACCCTGCTCTGCACTGGCTCGCTCAGCCGAAGCTGCAGCCGTGGTAACAGCGGTGTTGGGTGACGTGACTCGTGGGTGTGGCGGAGGCAAAAGCCTGTTATTCAGAAGAAGGGTGGGACAGAGCCACGAGAGGCCTTTCACGTCCACAGTGAAACCACAGCAGCCACGCCACGGTCGACTAGCTCTCACGATGCTGCTGACTGCAAGCTCAAAGAAAAACAACCCGAAAAAATGAATGAAGAAAACAGGATGTGTTCACTGTGAACTGTTTGGCAGATGTAACAGATTTTTTTGCGCTAGAGTGGGGCCAAAGCAAAACTCACCACTTCAAAAAACGTCTAGAACAACAAAGCATCTTTCTGAAGAGTTTACGGTCATTTATCCTGCTTTTAAAGTTTCTACAAGTGTAGAAACAAAAATACAGGAAAAGTAGCTAAAGTTAGAATCTAAAGGGCTGGATTTGTCTGCGATGGATAGAGGCAATAATGACCTCTCCTGGTTGAGATTAATAGCCGACCGGCGGAAAACGTTCAACTGTCACTGTGAAGCAGATACATGGTGAGCATCTCCTAACCCTCCTACGATATCAGAGACCCTACGGAAAAAATTGAACCAACTGCTGCACTCTGCTCAACGACAGGCTGAGTCAGAGCACAGATGAGAAGATTAAAAGGAATCAATTGAGAGTCTATAATATGAGAAGAAATACTGCTCCTGATTACATGAAAATATGTGCACAGTATACAGTGTGTGTGTGTGTGTGTGTGTGTGTGTGTGTGAGAGAGAGAGTGTGTGAGTGTGTTTGCAGGGAAAGTCATCCTAAATCCCTGATTAGTTCCAGAGGACTTGCAGGCTAAGATAAAACAGCAGTGCAGAGAAAAGAAGCCCTGCGTAAAAATTTCCACGACCCTGAGCATTTCACAAAGATTACCATGAGCCAGGGGATGCTCTGGTTTCGTCATCGATGAAGAGAAAGTAAAATAAACAACACAAACTGAACAACCTTTGACAAAATGTTTCTTTGTGCTATCTGTAAGAAAAAGGTGTGATGGTTTGTCTGACTCACCACAAATACAAGTTTTCCCACATTGGTCCAGGGGAAGTCGTACAACAGTTGCCTTACAGTGCCCACATTCTGCAACAGAGAATTACAGACATGTGAAATCAATGATTACAGGTATGATCTTTTTTTCATGACACCCTGATGCAAAACTCAGCAAAAACTCTAGAAGCACCTATGAAAGCCTAGAGACTGAGTTAGCATCTTAGAAATTTAAAATATAGTAAGAATAAGGGACATAAAATAGACAAAAACTGACATTTACTTCAAAAATACTCTTTAAAAAGGGATAGAAATGATTTGACAACACTGGTAGATTTTCACAGAGAATAAGACTTTTCCAATTAAGTGAAATCATAACTGAAAATGGAAGATGTTAGTCATGCTCTTTAAGTCTAACATCAAAAATAATAAACCTTAAATCCCACATCAATAACTTCCTCATTACTGAGTAGGAAATGTTGAATACCTGAAATATTTGGATGCCTCGTAAAGTCAGTCCTAATGTTAGAGATGCCTCCACTTCCTTCTTGTCCTGTCAGATAAAAGAATCAAACATAAATCAACTTATTGTGATAGAAGCGGGAGAAAAAACATCACACATTAAATGCTCCTCTAACCAAACAGAAAACTATAAAAACAACTTATCCTATATCCTATTATTCTTGTTATACAAATAGTATGATATTTCATGTGGGTATTTATACATTTTACTGTCAGTACTGTGGAATGTTCAGGGGAGGCAGTGTGTTTTTTTACTTTAAGAACTGGAACCATTGAAATGTATGATAAGAGCCCCTTGTTTTTTGTTGTTGTTTATTTAACAGGGACCCATTCAATGAGCATGGCTCAATACATAAAATACACAGTACATCCTAGGCATACAGGTTTCTAGCTATGTCTATTTGCAACCCTTGTACCCGGGTAGGCTTTTCAGAAGCATTAGACTTACCGGTAACTTTTTGATACAATACAATAAAAACCCATTCTTTTGCATGCGTCTTTAAAACCTTGAGCTCGGTCAGTTTTTTTTTCCAGATGGTATTCCACATATGTGTTCCTCTTTCTGAGAAGGATGAAAAAATGTAGTTCTGCGTTTTGGTGCTCTACAGTTTCCATCTGAGCCCTCGTTCTGATTGCACTTTTTTTGTTTTGTGTACCAGTGGTTAACAAGATGCTGTATGTATTTATTATCTCTCCTATCCTAAAAAAAAAAGTCCATTTGCATGAAGAGATTGATTATCTTAGATTGCATTAATTATCTGTCAGAGTAGACTCTCATGTCACTGCTGTAGACCTGAAAACGTTCCCGTCTCTCACCTTGTAGAGTCTGTAGTAGTGGACAGTGACGTCATCAAGCTGGGCACACTCCTTGATGTATTTGAGGTGAGCCTCCGAAGCTGTGAGAGCGAACTGGTCTTTGTGCATGTTGGGGATATGCCTCAGGATGTACTCACGACCGCGCTTTGTTATCACCTGAGAGAGAGAGAGAGAGAGAGAGCGACATGTGACATGTCATGCTTGGCTGCCTTCAAGTTGTACAGATTAATCACAGCAGGCATAAAGAAGCTCCCTGCTGCAGGCCAAACAGATGTCAACCTGGAGAAACTGAACGAGAGCAAGAGGTACGAGCAGGAAACACACTCGCTAAGCTTCAAGTGTGGCTTCTAGATACTTTCTAAGCGTCTGAATCTGTGGGGGACTTTCTGTAGAGGAGCGCTCATCATCAAGCAATTTCCTGTCACTGCTGGTTTCAAGTGGCGATAAGAAGGCAGGAGGTTAATTACAGGAAGTGAAGGGCAATCAGACGGGTGTGGCTGTCATAACCATAGAGATGGAAGGGGGAGGGTGCCAGTTTGGCCACAACAGCCATGTCAGAGCGAGCATTTCTCAAGATTAAAAAAATAGTCAGTGTGTGTGTGTGTGTGTGTGTGTGTGTGTGTGTGTATGTGTGCCAATTCCAGGGACAAAAATAAACTTAGTGCCCCAGTTCTCAACATCCCACATGCTCAGATGTGGAGCTGTCACTTAGTGTTTGTACAGTGTGATTAATGGAAGTGGGCCACAGACACAGATATTGTATTTACTGCAGGTCAGAACACCAACACACCTTTACTATACGTTTTAGCTTCTCAGTCGGTGATACAGCAGTTTCATTTGAGTCATTTTGAGCCGAGACCTCTTTAAGTCACTGATGTTTTACAAGGAAATTCACTGTGACTCACTTTAAAATCAGACAGACTAACCACAGGAGGATTTACCAGTCTAACAAAGGTATGTTATCACTGTTTTACTCACATCTAACACTGCTTTAAAGCTTCTTCAGGGGAAGTAGAATTAAATGGTTGAGGTGCATGCACCCAAAGGCAGATATGTAGATGTCCTTTATGTAATAAAACATTTGAAACTGGTTTTCACAGACTAGTAGGACAGGTTAAATACTGAAGCTGTTTCAGTGTGAACAGGAAGGGAAGGAAAAGTGCAAAATGATGATCAGCCATCTTAAATCACCTCTTCTTTGATTTTAATTTGACACGCACACCCACAGACGGTTCTTGTTGGACATACTCACCCATGGGGGGAAGTAGGCTTCAGGTTCAAAGTACTTCCCAAAGTGCTTGTTGCGTTTGAAGTTTCCCAGGTCAGCCTGGAGGGCGAAGGCTGCCAGGAGGAAGTAGGCCTCCTCTCTTTGGATGCACTGAGAGAGCAGCACCTGTTTCCTCAGGTGCCAGTAGTAATAGTACCTGGCTGCCCGGTCACTGCAGGGCAAACAGAAGTCAAATTGAAGGAGGTTGAAGATTAACTCGTGTTAAACTGAGTCATGTTAGGATAGTTTGTAGCGATTAGTCGTTGTTATTCAGTTGGAAAGCTTTACTTGCCTGATCAGTCTCCCGTTCTCTACGTAATACTGAGCTCTGAAGTGAATGATCATTGGAGGACCGAACTGGTCGATGCCCTGAAAACGAAAAAAAGGTTGTTTTCTTTTCTACAACAGGCAGAATCTTAAACTACGATGAATCAGGCATAATGCAACATGTACAGAGGTTTTAAAAGTGAGGCAAGAGAGCAGCTTTTAGGCAAACTGTAAGCCTTCATATGCAGCAGGTAAAGTGTAGCGACTGCCTCTTAAGATGGAAAAAGAAAACTTTCAGTAGACACTTGAGCCTCCCTTATCAGGGCAAAATAGTGTTTAAGATGATCAGGTGTCAGTTTATATCCATGACTGCTGAAGTTATATAATCTTAAATTGGTGAGTGGTGTCTTCTGTAATGGAAATGTAGAGAACCTTAAATGTAAATTTTATGTATTTATACATTTAATAAAAACAGACCAGTTCAATGAACCTGGAAAACAATTGAAATTTGGAATCATTTAAGAACACTCAATAACAGGAACATCAATTCACATATTGTGCATTTAAGGAAATAATCAAATACCCTTGTTTAATCCAGTTCTGTGACCTCGCTGGGGTAAATTATGTGAGTCATCGTTAGTGTGTCTTAAAAACTGGGGCTTAATATACTCGTCTCACTTTGTAACTTTGTCTGAATGAACGTCTTACCTTGCTGGCTTCTCTTTTCCATTCTTTGGGGCAATATTTGGATAGCTTTTGATCCAGCTCCATATAGATGTGTTCATTATCTGTCAGAGGAGGAGAGTAACAGATTTATCTCAGACATGAGGTTTCTGTTTAATCAGTGTGTGTGTGTGTGTGTGTGTGTGTGTGTGTGTGTATATTCTTTATGTTTGTGTGTGTGTATTTTTGGATGTATAGATACCTTCATGTTTGTGTGTGTGTGTGTGTGTGTGTGTGTGTGTGTGTGTATTTTTGGTTGTATAGATACCTTCATGTTTGTGTGTGTGTGTGTGTGTGTGTGTGTATGCGCAGAGAATTCTCTCCTGAGTGCATCCTGTTCAAAGCCTGCCTCCGAGCCATCACATCAGACAGCCTGTGCACTTCTCTTTGTACTCAGAGCCTGTGCTGCTCCTCCTCACTCCCTCACCTAACTCTGTCAGGTCTTAATCTGCTCCTGAACTGACGCCTTTCATGAGCTGCAGCCCTGCACATCTGACGACTCAGTTTATATACAGTGAAAACCCACTGAAAAGCACAAATTAATCAGAATTCAAACTGTAAAAAAAGAAAGACTAGAAAACACATTTTATGTTCATGTTTTCTACATAGTGACAAATAACTCAATAACTTTAATTATCTTCCAACAACACATTTGGTTTAATTTTCGGGTCAGTCAGATAAGCAGTATAAGCGGTGCTTCTCAACTCCGACAAAATGACAAACTGAAACGTCTTCATATGACATCAGTGTTTGTTGTAGACAAATATTCAGAGATTTGCATAAAATCAACCCTTTATTACGACGTACTACAGGCAGTCTTCATCGACAATACAGGAGCACATTTACTCCAGGACATTTTGTCCATGTATTACTCCACCTACATCAGCCTGTAACATCAACATTATTTCAGAATAAGTGGGAGGTACTATATGCTACTTTTTCTCCACCAAAGGGATCTCTGTCGCCATGCAGATGGAATTGAGTTCAGTCATATTTGACTTGTGGCGTTTAAGAAATCCAAGCATTACAATTGAGAAACTATTCAGCAAAATGGCTTTCCAGAAACAACATTCCTGTTGATCAGGCAAATCTAAAAACATCACTGTGAAAAGTTTTCATTGAGGACTATTTGTAGTTTTCCCTTTTCATAAAAATAAGTAGACCAGGGGTCAGTGTTTTACTTTAAGGTTTGAAGGAATTAACTGTGAACCTTCTTTTAGGTCTGATACATCTGATATGTGTTACATCATATTATTTTAATAAACAGGAATGTCATGTTTGACAGATTGTTGAAGATTTTTTTTCATGAATCCGGTTTCAATCACTTTTTTATTTGTGTGGCTACAAATGTGGAGGGATATCAGCAGATGATTTGGGGAAATTGAAGTAATAGAGAAACAAAACAGAACAGATCAAGCCAATTCTTTTGGATATGTATTTCTAACAACACAGCACTTATTATCATCATCAAATTCATAGTCTGGACATTCAATGCAAATAAAAAGTTGTTATTTTTTGTCTTGCAAAACAAAAGCCAGGAAATATTGAGTTAATAGTATGTCATAGACATTTTTACCAGAGAAGAAATTAGCAACTCAGCAAAACTAAATTAGGACAGTTTACTCAAAAGATGTATTTCTTACACAAATTAATGATGCAAATAGTGTTTCATTTTTTCCATGAATCCTCCAAAGACGCATCTGAACCCATGTCTGATGTATCAGCTCGTCTTTGGTTGGGGGGACATAGGGTGACACACAGGGAGTGGGTGGCCTCTGTTTGCCTTGGGGATTTCACGCTGTTCAGACAAGCACTTTAGGAATGTCCCACAATCAGACCCATTGGCTCCTGCTCAACTGACCTGCTGCACCATCATTGGCTCATCTGGGGGCCAGCTGTCTGAAAACATTGCCTTTGCAAATAACTCTCCCTTTGCAGTTGCCTACAACTGTCACCCGCTGTCTGCCTCGCTGTAGTAAAGACACGGTGACTCATTCCACTTGTACAACCCTCACTGTGCCGTCACCGTAAAAACAACTGTAGCCTCGCTGCACAATAGGGGCCAGTCAGGACCAGGAGGCCCTGGTTCCTGGGACACCGCCATGACATGTAGGTGAGAGATGCTACGTTTAGGGCAGATTTCTGTTTCCCAGCCAAGCGATTGGTCTGAGGAAATAAACTTGCCTGGTTACGCTGTTTCTATGTGGCTTTGTTGCTCTTTATGACTGCATCGCTCCACTATTTCATGATGTAACCGTTTACTTTAAATATTTTGAAAACAAAGCTTTGTACACATTAGTAGAGATGTGGGGGACGGTCACAGTAAACACAGTCTGCTTTGTTCAGCTGATGGGTGAAGCAGTTCAACATCAGATTAACTTTAAACAGCATCACACAAAAATACACATAGACTGCTCAATCAGTTTGTTTCCCCCAAAGGAATCCCTAAAATAAAAAAAATCTTACTCTGAATAACACTGAGTCCAAACAGATGGCAGTCCTTCAGCCTTAAGAGGTCGCACACCTGCACCAACAGTTCCTGGCACAAAGTCTTCACCTGGGGAGGAAAGAGGAGGAAGAGGCACAATTTTAGATCATCTTTTGACGACTGTATACATAAAACAAAAAACATAATCAGATACAGGGATGTGTGTAGTCGACTTCACAGTTAAACATCATCACCCTCACTAGTCGGCACCAGAATTACAGCTCAGTTTAACAGCATTTTTTTATATGTTAGTCAAATGTTATGCACAGACTCATCCGGGCTGTCGTAATATACTGGCTGTAGCTCTGTTTAATGGGCCTGCTCTCCCCGCTCTAATACCTCGACATAAACAAGAACATTGAACGGATAGCATCTGAACTGGATATGGACTGGAGCAATCTGAAACCCCATTTAGCGCAGTAACGTGCTAGAACTAATAATGATAGCCACTCAGCAAATATAACCGTTTTCACATATGCACTCCTGAAAATATCCAGATAATTTCAGGATTGGTGTTCACATAAGCATCTCACAGCGGGAGACTATCCCTGTCAGATGGGAGGGGGTGCAGGGCCGGGTCTCCTGAATTAAGACGGGACGTAAAAAAACACAAAGTAACAGAATCCGCTAAGCGATGCTATAATGAGAATATTTGCCTTTATATTAATGCTACGTGTAGTTCAACGGAATCACAATTTCAACAAAAGAGCAGAGAACATCATACTGACAAACAGATAAAGTAACGCACTTTATGCACCGTCACAGTATATAAAGGTCACTCCCCCGTCCCATTTGCTCAAGGTGAATTCTCTGGAGAATATCCTGCTGCGTTCTAACATCAGCTCACTATCCCGAGTTTTCAAGGAGTTTTCTGCAAGTGTGAAAGTCCTAAAACATTGTTTACCTGCAGACAATTCATTGAATTACAGGTATATCTTGACTGTTTTCTTACCCTTAGACTAGTTAGTCTGAATTCAAATTCATGTTTAACCGTCTTGGAAATTATTCGCCTCGGAAGATCCCTAATCACATGTATTCTACCACCACCTAGTATCTGTGAATGTTGTGAAAGTTGTGCATGTCTGGACATATCTCAGTCCAACAACAGAACATTGTACACAGAACATTAATTACATAAAGTAAACATTGGATAATCCCTAATGAGATTAAATACATTCCTGCGATTTCTGCTACAACGATTCAGTGTTTCATTAAGTACCAGCTGACAGCTGCCAAGAATGAATTTCACAATTTATTATGATATCCAAACCCCTCCATTTGTGCTCCGATAAGTTTTACAGGCTTATTCACTTTCTTTAAACAGGGTCAGATGAGGAGACTGATACCATAACTAATATGAAGCTAGAGAGAGTGGTTGGTTTTCTTAGCTTGGCTCTGCCTGTCCACTAATTCTCTAACGCTTATTCTCTTTAGGGTCTCTTCATCAAAACAATTACAAAAAAACACCAACTGAAGATGTTGTGAATTTTCTCCATTGTTAAAAGACTAGAATTGCTGATAAATATCTACAATAACTAGTGCTGAAAACAATTTCATAGACTACCGGTAAGTACTGTGCATGTTGTGCATGTTTGTCTTTCTATTTTTAAGTTCATTTCACAGAAATAAAATCACACATATCTCAGGGTTAAAATGTTGGAAACATTTGGAGGACACAACAAGTAAACATTTCAACAAGATAATATTGTGTTGTTGTTGTTGTTGTTGTGGGGTGTGAAACCTCCTTAGGTCCCTTGAAAGGCACTAAATCCATTATTAAGATATTATTATTAATGTCAGAGGTGTAGTCATTTTTAGACAACTGAATGAGTTAATGTTACAAAATGTATCTTTAAAGGATATTATTTACAGCTTACCTCACGCAAAGCAAGTCTAGCTGTTTAAAGCTCTTGACATAAGCCAACCAATTATTGGTTGTCATTTTATAGTTGACAGATGTTCATAACAATATTCTCATTCAGCTCATTAGTCTGTTTCCAGAACCATTCCCTTAACTTCCATTGACTCTTATGTTTTAACATCTTGAGTTAAATGAAAAGTTTTGATAAAGATATTGTTTGTATTTGTACTCACATTGACAATGACGTTGAGCGTGTCATCATTGGGCAAAAAGACACAGACACAGCGGCGGTCCTGCATGGCTTTGTTGTTGTGGAAGCTCAGTTTGTTCATCTTCGTGTGGCTCAGAAAGAACAGGCCCCTCCTCCTGCTTCCACCGCAGGCACCAACACCACCACGACCACCACCAGGACCAGCGGTCACTGTATGTGTGCTTCAGCTACAGCCCAGTGCAGACACACCAGCACCTTCAGGCTCAGCAGGCCAAGCAGCACTCACAAGGCAGAGCATGTGGACGTGAGCTGGAGTCAGACACTGTGGAGAAATCACAAGAGAAGAAGGATTTAATGACGCAACATCCATAGTGTTGACAATAAAAAAAGGTTTTACAATCTTAAAGTGTTTAAAAATAACAACACGGCATTTGCTGAAAATAAAATAAGTCTGACAGGATACAAGAAAGACCGAGAGAGAAAAGGAGGGACACATTCCTGTTTGTGTCTTTGAATATGTGACTTCATGTACAGGGAATGTCAGTGACTCCTGAGAAACATTTGAACATCTGTCTGGAGAGGAACTGATGAGATGTTACGATGAATTAAAGAAACAGAGACTAATACCTCAAAAACCCACTGAAAGCCTCCCTGAAAGATAAAACAGAAATGCCAAGGAAATTTTATCAAATGAGTAATACAACAACAGCCAAAATGTAGTTGACTTCATCAGCTGTACAGAAACGTATGCACAGGGTGTTAAGATGACTACTAGATGCTGCCAAACATCACAACAATCAGCTTCATATTGTCCTTCTGGCAGCTTGCCTGTAAACTCATTCAGCTGTATTCTGCTCTTAAAAAAAAAAAAAAAAAAAAAAAAAAAAGCATCTACATCGTTTACAGAGGTAAGAATGTTTTCATAGTTCAATAAACAGAGACTCTCACAGTGCCACATTAGCACAGAAATGTTGTAGTATGTGTGTTACAATTTTTTGGCACAGTGTTTGAGAATTTGCCTTCATCCTGAACTTGGCCAAGAGGCGGGTCAAATATTCACTCCTTTTTTTTTTTTTTCAATCTACCTGCACCGACTTGACAAAAATAATTCCATCTCAGTCCAGTTCATCATTCCCATTCCACATATTTTGAAATTGTAGACTAGGAGGATAGCCTAATGGTTATGTCGTAAAATGTAGGTTCTGGTGATACATTTGTTTGAAGGTAAAATTTGTTTGTTTTAGGAGTTCTGTTAAAACAATGTTGTGGTCTGATCTTTCCATCACATAATAGAAAAGTATTGAAAGTGGTATTGATAAAGTATCGGATCGTAAAGGAATATTGATAAGGGTATCAAATATCGATAAAAAATAACAATCCCATCCCTATTATAGCATCAAATATATCCCTTGTTCTACTGCCATAAAGAGTATAATACAACAAAAGAGGACTATATTAAATGATAGACATTTTTCTCTCATTCAAATACATAGTTATATTGCCCAGCTTTATGACAAGATATATGAAACACACACATGAGAGAGGAAGGAGTAAACACAGCTCCAACATTAACACTTCTCCTTTAGCAGTGAGCAGCTCTCACACTCACACAACAAGCTCTGTGCCCGAGGACGTGATGAGACCTTCAGTGGGTGTGAAAAGTCTCACACCAGACAAAAGAATGTTAAAGAACAATCAATCCAGATTATCACTTCTTCCTGTTGAACGTCACTCACCTTGAAGCCATGTTGTCATTAAAAACAGACAGGAAAGATACCCGAAAGGAACACATTACAGAGTGAAAAACAATTAGCATTTCAAAAGATGTAATCAGGGGATTAAAGGGCCATTCACCACGTTGAGGAGTTTAGGTTTAAAAATGTTTTTGCTGAAGTATGAGGCCCCTTCCAGCTATTCAAAGACATGCAGAGCAAGGACTCAAGTGTCACAATGTCTTGACAAACTCACTAAAAATATATGAGTGAAAAACATGCCTTGAAATCAGTACCTAACAAGCAGAGGCAGAACCTCACGGAAATTACGGTACTTAAAGGAAAGCTACTAATAAACAACAACTTTAACTGCAGGCTTGGACCTCTGCAGCAAAGTCACAAAGTGCTTCTCAGACTAAGTACCCATTCAATATGCTTGCTGTAGACATATAACACTGCTTTGTTGCTGCACAGACAGGGAGCATTGTGTGCAGCACAGCCATAAATACACATACTGTTGACATTCAGCATCATTAGAGCTGGTCATTGGATGTGCAGTGTGGCGGGCAACCGGCCACTCAGCAAACTCTGCTGATGAGCTCTGACTGGGATGACTCCTGCACTGCTGCTGTCCTTGACTTAACACAACAGTACTGCACTGCACCCGCAAATACAAACTCACACATATACAGTATGTCGATGCAAATAAAAATAGAGACCCATGTTCAGAGCATGCATTCACAAACCCACACACACACACACACACACACACAAACAGTATTGCTTAGTTTCTGCTCTCTAGCCGTGACCATATGTCAGGTGTTACTACAGAATGGCAGAGCTGTGTAAGATGGCAGCGGGGTTAATTAGAAGTGAGATCCAACTAATTGGATCACTTCCCTTCATTTCCCACTTTCCTTCCAGAGCATTTACAGTAAGACTGATATATCTGCAGAAAATACTTTGTTTGAAATGGTTTTGTTTGTCAGATTGGTGAGATCATAGACATAGAAAAACAATAAAAAAACGCAGTCCAACTAAAGCTGCATTCATACTAAAAGAAAGGGCTTAATGGCATCCCCACTGTAGAAACCCAATGCCTTTATGGGGGCTCTGCTGCAACACTAGACGCCTGCATTGTATCTGATTAGCAAGTATCATGCTTTAATTACTGTATATATTCCCCATGTAATCCTGTTTACATTCTTTCATTCACCAATATACAAGGACTGTGGGAAAGTTACCTCTGTCCATGGAACCAGTCTGGAAATAGTTCAACTTTTTTCACTAAGAGGTAGTCCCCTGTATAAAACTGCAACCTGCCTGTTTTTCACTTTATCATCATTGAAGTACTAAGTACTGGTGCTAAGCTGCTGCTGGTTTTAACTTTACTGTATAAAAAATAGACAAACCTTTGACAAGAAGTCCAAAAAGCATGTGCCAAAACAAAAACATAAAACATACAACTTTCCTTGAGCTTCCTTATTGCTGTCTCCACTGTAATATCTATTTCCAAAGATGAATACAGAAGACAGTTTTAGTCAATTGTTACTGAATCTTTAATCAATTGTGAGTTAGGTTGTGTTATAAAACACTGTGTAAGTGATGATCATGCTGTATCACCAGTTAAAGTTACACTCAGGGCAAGACAATCCTCATGTTCCCCTATATTAAAATGTCAATCTTTACTGCAAGTATAAAAATGGTTACAGCTAAAAGTCAATACACTCTCACTCCCACAAGCATATTTCCTTGTTCATAAAAATAAAAAAATATATTTTGTCATTCAATCATTAAGTTAAATCAGTGACTCAAGCTTTCCAGCTTTCCAGCTTGAGTGACAGTTAGGTGCTGCTTGCTTTCTGCTAGGCTTTTAGCTAATTCAAGTCCCTAAACTTGACCTCTTGGAAAGCCACATTCTGTCAATCACTGTCAGATGTGGGTCCAAATACTAATATGACAATGGCCAAAAGCGAAACTTAAAGGCTTTAGATGCGATTTTTTGATCCAGCAGATGTCGCCCTTGAGCACCAGCATGAAACCAAAACAACTCGTGGTGCATTGTGGGTTAGTATGCTAATGCTAACGGTCTTTATTATGCTCGTATCTTCACACTGCATGTAAATTTACCCAAAATAAGCGTGATCTAGACACGCAGTCAAGCAGTGAGTACAGTATGTTATTTTTCTTTTCTCTAGTCCCTCAATTACAGAACTTTTATACGTGAGGGGAGGAGTCAGCCGTCAACAAACAGAAAATATGACTCAGAAAACTCGGAAAACATCACAGACAGTGGGACTCGGGTGTTACACCCATTGTAGACAGTCATTACTCACAGAGTTATTTTCAGAGGATATACTTGATTTCTATTATATTTAAGTGTGAAAAATCGCATATAAAGCCTTTAAGGCTTCATAAAATCATGATTACTATGTAAACATCTTATATAAATGGGAGGAAAACTGTATCAAGTAATGCATGACTTGTTGTTTATCCTGGCCTAAACCAGCATCATGTTCTTGTAATAAAGTTAACAGCTCCTAAGTAGGCTCTGCTGAAGACTTAAATTGCATTTTCAGACAGAGATATGATTCCTGACTTTCACAGACACATCTTATTTATGACTTGTTTATCCCATTGTTGAAGGTTAGTGGTAAAAGCTTATGTCTCTGTCGGTCAGTCGTAGAGACGGATAACTCAGACATAACTGAGTAGTCATTATTGATGGCTTTAAAGGGCTATTGTGTCATGTCTGGTCTGCACATGAGACATCACCACAGAGGGAATGTCCACCATGAAATGAAGGGGTGGATTCTGTTACACACTGTTGAGCGTGAACACTGTGTGAGGGAAGAGAGTGCTGGATAATGAAATTATTGCTGCTTTCAGACCCCCTCTCACTGCCATGCAAAGTGTGATGCAACACCAAAGTCCATCTCAAGCAGCTCAAGCACGCACAAAGAGCAGCCAGCAGAGCTTCCTCTTGCCTTTCAGCCTCAAAACAGGGCTACTGTCAACGTGGCAAACCTCAAACCTCAGAGTTTGGGCTTGATACCAAATCCCAAACTAGGGGAGAGTGAAAGGGCCTCAGTCACAACTATACCTCTCTTTTTCTCATTCTTTCCCTCCTCCATTGACATCAGAGGGCTGGAGAGAGTCCCTATGTCTAACTGTTGGATGGTAGAGCCAAAGAAAACTTCCTTTGCTAGGAGAAGAGGGAACAGACCAACTGAAGGAAGCTGTCACCATGCGTATTTAAGAATAGCTCCAGGTAGAGTTTGTGTCAAAGAGTACAGGGTGGATATATGCAGCAGAGAGAGGGAGAGCACAGGGAGGCAGCGCTTCGAAGCTTAGGCATGAAAAAAGAAAAAACTGCTGCAGTCAGGAGAATTCCTCACTAACATCTGCTTCTCATTTTAACAATGGCGGCCTTTGATTCCTGATGCATACACGAGCAGCACCGCCATCGTCTTCTTCGTCTCCACGTGCTCACAAACTGCATCCTCTGGCAGCATCTCACTGTAATCCCTGATCTGGAGCTGAACTGTGTTTGAACACAAGTCTTATTAAGGTAAACCAACTCATGGTGTTTGTTTTCACCTGCTGTAAG